AGCTCTTTCTGGTCTCTCCTGCTGGCTGCCTACCTCTCTCTCTCTTTCTAACTTAAGCTGTTTTTTTTATCACCACACCAGCACTGTTTTCCTTATTCGTAGGAGTAGTTTTTCCCCTCATCCCGTGTCAGCATCGCTACCGTTTCCCGTTTTCCCCAGAATATCACCTCTCACACCTTTATGTCCGATGGAAGGTGGAACAGTTTTGTTAATTTTGGACAACAAATGAATCGTTGTGCAGCTCAGCCGGGGAAGTGTTTGGTTTCTTTTTTTCTAGCTAGCCTGCTAGCAACACAAAGCGCGGCACCGGTCGTTGGGTTTATCCTCAAACATGTCAAATCTCGTTGTGAAAATGTATCTGACAACACCTCTGTCTATAACAAGTGTAAAACGTTGTGTTGTGTTCCCAGAATGCAGTTATCTTATTTCTGAACAATCTTACACATGCTCTGAATCCAGCGAGATATAAAAAAACACATTATATCTGTCACATTGACGGCTGTTATTGGCCCAAACTTGCACTATTTTTATTTTTTTTCAAAATGATCCAATTAGCTGTGGCGGTTTACAGGACCTCTACTTTGTTATGTCCTTTTTCATTAGTTCCCTCGTGTGTTTTCCCCTTATTCAAACGGTCAGCAAAGCCGAAGCCACTTCGAGGCGCCACTTTTGCTTTATTTTCTAATTCTGTTTTCTCTACTGTTTCATATCTCACACCCACCCGCAGTTGGCTTAAACGCTGGTGGAGGAGGAAATGGAGCTGAGGGGTTGAGGGTTGGGCAGACAAATGGCCGACAGATGCTTAAAACTGGCCGTTGTGATGAGCGTGCTCGTCCATTCAACCAAACCGAACAGCCCGGGTTTGAAGTCGGTAATCGGTTGTCTGGAATAATGTCATCTCAGAGTCTGTAGGCCAGAGATTTGCACGCGAAATTTGTACACTCTAAAGCGTCAGTTAAAAAAGAAAAACAAGCTGTGCCTGTGTTGGAAATGACATGTCATGAGGTGAAAGACCTTTTTAAAATCCAAAACAATAGCTCATTTTTGTATATATCGATGAGTGACTCGATCCAGAAAAGGAACAGAAGACAAAGTATTTTACTGACCTGCAGAGACATAACTGGCTCCACTGCACAGGCATATATGAACATGCACAGTTAAAGGGAATTTCACTGGTCTGTTGCCTCACACTTCTCTGGCAGACTATGAGGGCTCCTCTCCCAACCAGCAGGAGCTTTTCTTGTGTACAGGAGTTTAATGGCTTAAATGGGAACAGGACCATGAACTCATTCAAGAAAATGTCAGAAATAATCAGGCATCTTGAGAGTATTGAAATCTTTAAAGCCATCAACTCCCAGCCAGGCCTTTGTGGTGTAAAATACCCAGATGATATGTTTTCGTACGATCTGGGTATGAAGTGATCTTTTCGTTGTCCTTTAATTGACGTTAACTCACTAATCATGCAGGATTATCCATGTAATCCTCCACCGTTCCCATGAACTGTTGCTATTGCTCATCAATATTTGCTGGCATTGAGAGCGGAGCAGACAGCTAAACGCTTCCTGTAATGGCTTGTTGTGCCATCTTGCGTCTTTCCCGCTGGGGCCCTGATTAGCTCATAGCGTGGAGCCAACATACATCACAGCGCTTTCTCCTCATTGTGGTTTCTCAGTTTGATGACATGTTTTTCTGCAGCAGCAACAGGTGGCTGAGAGGCCCATATAGCCCTCCCGGAGGAAAGGTCAAATCCCAGCGCGACGTGTCGTTTGTCCCCATAAATGCAAACAAACGCACATCGCAGTCCGCTAATAAAAGAGTAATTGACACGATGGAACTCAAACAGGACCCATATGAGGAGATCGAGTTAACAAAAAGGTTTTATTAACTCAAAGTAGTACAAAATAAAGATCACTCAACAAGGACGGTTCAGAAAAGGAACAATTCAAATACGAGGATAGCAAAAGCTCATAAACAAAGTAACAAAATTATACTTACAGGGAGTCAGAACAAAACAAGGAGGATCAAAAAACAAAATCACTCTTTCGAGGATTAACTATGGCTTTGGTTGCTCAGTAGGACAAAACCCACTGGCACCAGACAAGCAGAGACTCAGACTATTTACCACATGAGGGGAAGGGAACCCCAGGTGAAACCAACAGGTGATCAGGGAGACAATTGGACAGACGACACACCAGGAAGTGCAAGAGACCTGAAACGAGAGGAGGGTTACTTATCAAAATAAAACAGGAAATGACGAGACCACATGGAGACAGGAAAAAAAAACCAGCTAGATAACACCGCTGTGACAATAATGGGAAAAATCTTTGCTGTAAAGATTATTTAAAACCTTTAAAAGCTCGCTTGAAACCACTCATAACCATGAAGACCCCCCCCCCCCCGTGATCTCCTCCCAGTGCATTCGTTTTTTTTGTGTTCATTTTAAAATCTTACTGCTCACCGTCGACACCTTAAATGAGGTCAGTGCTTCTGACCAGAGAAGTTTCTGTTCCTGTTAGTTTGCTCATCATGTTGTATCGCTTTTCTAGGGGAATCTGATCAAACTCTCCCTTTTGAGAAAAAGCCTCTCGCAATGTCTTATTCATTTTTCACTCTTTCTTTTCAACTTTTGTTGTAACTGTTTCTGTGAACAGCCTAATCTATTTCCCCCTTTACTTTTTGAATGTCGCTCATCCAGGCCAGTAACCCCCCACCTCCCCCAACCCTTTCCTCCACACACACACACACACACACACACACACACACACACGCACACACAAACCTCCATCCTCGCTCCCTTGGAGACCAGCCAGTGGGAGAAGTGGGACTTTAATTAGCCTCGATAATTAGTCCGACGCTAACAAAGACTCCAGCTGTGCAGCATGGCACCTTGTTGCCCCCCAGTCAGAATCAATCAGAGCTCCTTCCAGCAGCGCCTGATTGGACGGAGGCCCTTCTGAGTAAATCAGGGGGTAAATTACACTTAAACACGCATCCAGGAGCCGCTTGACAGAAAGTCCTAGAAGCTCTGCATTGCTCTAAACATGTCTAAAAATCTATAAATACACACTAGTTAGACTGGTTTGTACACTCTGTTAGCGCTCCATGTCTTAGTGTATTAGCTTTATTTACGTGTTATTTAAGTGTTATCACCCCTTGACTTCTGGATGCTACATGGATGGTTTTTTGTTCTGTTTGTCCCTCTGCAACTATCTGCTGTAGGTGTTTTTACAGAGCATACAAAGCTGGGCTTATTTCTCTTCTAAAACAGCCCGAAAACACAGAACGAATATGCAGGTACACTGAGGGAAGAAAGACGGCCCTCTCTTGACATTCAGACTGGCTCTAAGTTCGAATTCCCTCCCAGTATCGCTTCACTCTCCTGTAGAGAACAGTGGGACGTTGTATATTCAAAAGTGCTGAGCGTGGTACATTTTTCTCGGCTTGTCGTGAAAAAGGCTTTGCTTTCTTTCCTTCTTTGCCCACCCGGAGTTCCTCAACAGACGAGTTCCCTGGAAGTACTTTATCTTTTTGTGTTAGAGATGGATGAAAGCGAATGGGATTGAGGGTCTCCTCTGTTTCTGTGCATCATTTCATCCTCTAAAAATTCCCCAAAACTCTCTATTTGAATCAGCAGGACCAGGAAGTGGAACCGATGAGTGTCGGGCTCATCATTTTGAAGACATGAAGTAAAAAGAGTGCGACCTTCTGTCCCTTCTGGGCTGGATTGTTCTGAAAGTGTGCGAAATGTCGGGTAATCTTTGTGGAGTTCAGTGCAGAAGGTTTCCCTCTACCCAGCCTCCCTTATTTGCTCCTACTGTAAATCCACAGAGATCTGTTCCTAATGACTGAAATGCCTCGAGGATAGGTCAAGATTACAGTTAAATATGTCGTTGCTCAGTGACTGAAGAGGGGAGAAGTCATTTTATGCTTTCGCTCGAGGGCTGATCACGGTTCATACTGTGGAATATGGCTGTTTTATCCCATTTGCTGATGGAACTACATGATTTGAACCATTGTGTCCGGTGGAGGACGCTTTTCAGGTGGAAGATGAAACGCGTATTTTGCCTAAAGAGATGATATTGCGTTGATTATGATCAGTGCTCCAAAGTAATGTAGGATTAAGGCACTCTTTGAATCGCTGCGTTAAAATGCCACTTAGAAGGGATCGATGAGAAGAGCAAAAATGAGGCAAATACACCTCAGAGGAAAAAACTAATCACAAAGCAAAAACCCATCAGGTGGATGTTTCTACCTCTAGCTGACGCTTGCTTTGTCCCCAGAGTGTGGGAAGTAATTTAAAGTTTTTTTAATAAAAGCCTCATAACTGTAGAGTGTGAGTCTCATGTGCAGCTCGGAGCTGATAACTTGCTACCAGCTAATGACGAGGAGCGCTAATGTTTTGCATCTCCGGGTGCTTTTTTCCTCTTTTCTCTAACGCAAAGAAACGTCCATCTGGCTGAGCAAAAGATAAACATACTGACTACTCATAACACTTCTAGTACCCCCCATAGTTTAACCAAATAAGCGTCTCAGACTAAGTTATAAAGCACTGATTAAGGAAGAAGTAACAACTATGATGCTTTTAAACAGGATTTCCAGTTACTTCTCAAAAGTTTGAGGTGTCTGAGACGTGAAATAGTAATTTTTCTTCCTTAGCTACTTGCCTCCTGAGTTCATGTTCAGCATGTGAGGCGGCCAGCAGGAAGTGTTATAAGGCTTCAGGTGTTGCCTGTATGTGAGGAAGAGCGGATTCTATTCGGCGCGAGTTTCCGAGGAAGCACTCGCGTACTGGTATCTGTGCGGCTCTCTCAGTCCTCCCACTCAGTAGACACGGCGTGGGCGTGGATCCTGCAGGCTGCTCGTCTCCCTGCGCATGCTATTAGTCACAGATTCTGCGCTTTACACTCGCTCATCACGCCGAGCCCACATGCGCACATATGCAAAAAACGCACAAACGCAGCATATTGAGACGGTTCCGCGTGTCTCTTTCTGCTGCAGAACGCCGTGTTTTCCTTTTAGTGATAGGAAAATAAGCTGGCGCCCGCCCACCGCTCCTCCAAGATTGGGTTAGGAATGTATGTGTTCCATTTCCTTTGAGTGTTACCTCTCTCTCTCTTTCTCTCTTTCTCTTTTTTTTGTTCTCTATAAAAGATGCTTGAGCTCCAGAAGTCTGTCTCTTCTGCTCGTCTCTTATGTGTGTTTCTTTTAAAGAAAAACAACAAAAATAGACTGTTTTGTGATGTCCTCCACCTGCAGCCTCCCGCGGTCCTCCTCCCTCTCTCTGTTTCTTGTCCTCCTCCCTCTCTCTGTTTCTTGTCCTCCTCCCTCTCTCTGTTCCTTGTCCTCCTCTTTCCCGTGACGTTCTCCTGGCCTCCTCTAACCCGACGTGCCCGTTTCTCATCTAAAATGTTGTCCTATTGGCCCTTTCTGTCACGATTCATCTGGTGTCCTCTCTCCTCTCTTCCACCCCCTCCCATCCATTTTTGCCACCTTCACCCCTCTCCATCCCTCCCCCCCCGTGGCCGATCCGATGTCTCCCCTCCCCCCCTCCCCCCCTCCACCCCCGCTGTCCCTGCTCTCTCTGTTTTGTCTTCACAGTCACTGTATCCATCAGATTCTAGAAAGTGTCCATCACATTCACCAACATGACATAGTGCACAGGGACCTGAAGGTTAGTACGTGTAGAGCAGCGTCTGCACCCCCCACCTCCCTTCAGCCTTTGCTTGCTTCCTCTCCGTCCCCCCCCTCCCCCCCTCCTCCCCTCCCATCCCGCCTCCTCGATCCCGTCTGTTGGTGTCTGTCTCTGGTCAAATGTCCGCCTGTCTGATTCGTCTCTTGGTGTGATGTGTTTTTTTCTCTTTGCTTCCACATCGTATTGTTTGGGAGTTTTCTAATCGGGGGGGGACCCCGGCCTGCCTCTCCCACCC